AGGTTGTTGTCTCCCGAGGCAGATGAAGCTCCGTCACGTCAATGTCCGGTGGTTGTGTGCCTAGATCGGCATCTAGGTCTAGAGTCTACATAACTCGAGACTGAGTCCCTGTGAATGCCGTTAAGGGCCTGTCTGTATGCTGACGGGTCCAGCGGCTGCTTAATGAACCTCTGGACTTCGTCCGTCAGTTCGTATAGATGCCTCCTGACGTGCCTACGCGAGGGCTCCTCTGCAAGCAGCTGCCTGTTTGGGTGACCACATCTGTGGCTCCCAACCAAAAACTATTTGCAGAGAATTATGTTATGCTCCTTGATTGGGAGCATTTTCGCCTCGTCATGAAGGTGTTGTTCAGGCGACATCAGGAGGCATCCAGTCGCTGTCCTGAGTGCGGTGTTTTGTGTTGTCTGTAGCTTCATCCACTGCGTCCTACTAGTCGCCGGCGACCACACTGGTGCTGCGTAGTTTAAAACCGGCCGGCCTATTGCCTTGTATGTTGCCAGTAACGTTTCTTTGTCTTTTCCCCAAGTACTGCCGGCTAGCGACTTGAGGCCTTTGTTGCGGATCTGTACTTTGTTGACAATAACGGTTGCGTGCGCAGAGAAGAGCAGGCTGTTGATTGTTACTCCGAGTATTTTTGGGTTATTCACCGTCGTAATTGGTGTATCATCGACGTGAATTCCCAGCGGTAGCCTGACCTCCTTCTTCCAGGTGGTGAACAAGGTCGCAGAGAATTTCGTAGGGGAGAGGGCTAGACACTTTGCAGTGAAGAAGCGAGAAAGCTCGGAGATACCCGTTTACTTTCGAACACAAGTCATCAATTCCATTCCCAGTCGCCATGATCGAGCAATCGTCGGCGTAAGAGACAATCGAGACTCCCTCTGGTGGTTGAGCGAACTTTGAAATATAAAAGTTGAACAGTAGCGGGGAAAGGACACCACCCTGTGGAAGCCGCTGTTTTATTTTCCTGAGTTTACTCGATTTGTCTCTAAACGTTAACGACGAGTGTCGACCACTCAGATAATTTGCCGACCACCGTTTGAGCCTCTGTGGGAGAGAGGAAGCCTCTATATCTTCCAGTAGCGTGGAATGGCTGACGGTGTCAGACGCCTTTGACAAGTCCAACGCTACTAGAATCGTTCTCTCACAGGGACGGTTACGATTAAGGCCACGAGTTATCTAAGTGTTTGTGGCGTTAAGTGCTGTTGTTGTACTGTGCACTTTACGGAAACCATGCTGATGCTTCGCTGGGGTCAGGTGGTTCGTGAAATACGGGAGCAGCAAGGCCTCAAGTGTCTTCGCCACCGGGGAAAGGAGTGTTATCGGTCGATACGAATCTCCTTTGTTGGCGGGTTTCCCCGGTTTGAGGAGTGGGACCACTCTCCCCTCCTTCCAGATGTCTGGGATGATGAGAGTGGCCATTGACAAATTGAGGACCTCAGTTAGGTACGCTACTCCCGCAGGACCCAAATTTTTCAGCATCAGCATGCATATTCCGTCGGGTCCCATGGCTTTGGAGGCTTTCGCCTTCCCGATGGCCACCTGAACTTTACCGCAAGTGAAAGCAAGGGGGCAAAAGTTGTTGGCAGTTTGTGCAGCCTTCTGGTCACTCGACGCTTGGCTTTGTCCACCGGAGGATGCAGTATGAACTGCCGGCTAAAATAGCTCGCGCATCGCTCCGGGTCCGACGAAGCATGATCGCCGAAAGAAATTTCGACTCTGTCGTCGTGCTTCGTCGGATTGGACAGTGACCTCACGGTTGACCAAAGCTTACTCACACCAGAGGTGAAGTTACAGGTCTTCAGATGCTCTTCCCACCTCTTCCGCTTATGTACGTTCACTAATTGCCGAATCTCCGCGTTGAGATCCCTGATACGGGGATCTCCGGGATCGGCCTGACGAAGGCTGTCTCGCTCGTCGGCTAGAACAGCCGCTTCGGCTGGGAAATTTGGACGTGGGTCCGTGATGCATCCTGCCGGTACGAAGCGAGCTGCAGCAGCGGTGACAGCCCTGCGGAACTTACGTTCACCAAGGTGGACGTCGGTTGGTGTGGGGAGAGCAGCGAAGGTGTTTTCAGTAAAGAGGAAGGAACTTCAGTTTAGAGGAAGTTCGGGTGTTGTGGTATAGGTATTTGTTTTTCGGGATTTGTAGAGATCTGTGAAACAAGTGCAGTATAGCGGCTGGTGAGCTAAAAAAAAGTGGGCGTGATTATAACACATTTTTGAGTGCAAATTAATAGGGGCGGTGCTAGGAGGTTAAAAGTGGAATTTTCAATACATTCAAAAGCTTATATTTGCAAAACTATTGAACCGAAAATGTGGATATCGTTCGAAAAGTAATTGATAGACCTTTCATATGATATGTTTTAGGCTTGGGTAGTTTTTGAACTAAATGAACGAAAAAAAACTAGTTCATCTCAATGTATATTGTATAAGGCTTGGGTAGTTCTTGAACCAAATGAACTAAAGAACTAGTTCATCTCAATGAACTCGTTTACTAATTAGGTATTTTCATTGAACTAAATTCGTCAGTGCTATTATTCCTCAATTTAGATCGCGTTCCAAATATTCTTGCCACGAGCGTATGACTTAAAAACACGTCTTTACAGATACGTTGTAAAACGCTTTTGCATTGTTGCTGCTTCAGTTCCTTGCGAAGGATTTTTTTCGGGTGCAAGGAAATATCAAACTGGCATAGAATGTTTTTAAGTTCAAACAAACTTTCTAATTTAATGTTTTTGCACAGCAATATGTATGTGCCGTGACATAGCCCCAAGTGACATAACTCCAATTTTTTTACTTGGGATTATGTCATATATAAGGAGTGACATATTTCCAAACGAAAAGGTGGCAAATTGCAAATCCCTCATGTAATTTTGCAAACCAACAGAATTTGGAATGAGCAAGTGTAATGATAAATAGCATTTTTATCAAAACATTGTCATAGAAGCTTCCATTATTTTCTTGTGAACGCATATAGGCGATCTAACAACATATGTATAACTGAGAATTATTATTTACTAGAGGCCACGTTTGCTGCGGTTCCACGATGTGGATACAAGCAATTGTTTATTATGTACCCTTACTAAGTAGAATTCTTTTTTCTGTGTTGGCAGCCTTCGATCGCGCTTAGGGATTATAACCCTTACTAAGTAGAATTCTTCTTTCTGTGTTGCAGAAAAAGATCGGCGGAAGCAAGGCATATTGAACACGAATGTGTATATGAATGTAGCAGAGTTGGACAGTTCAGATTTTTTTTTATAACATGCATTTATTTATTGAATCTTTCTTTCGAAACTAACAAAAGCTTTCAAATCTTACAAACTACTATTAAATTTAAAATTTCTGCGGCAATGCTTAGAAATTTTTTATTTTTATATATACATATATATTTAATACAGCTGTTGAGGCTATCGGAATGGACAAGATTCCGAGCAGCAGGATCGCTGGATATCGTGCTGGGCAGGCGGTCTGAAAGGACGAGCTCCAGAGCCGCACTGCCTGGGCGGGTGGAAAGGACTACTTTCCACGCCGCGCCTTCGCTTCTCTATCCCCCTTATTCTACGCTACGAAAAACGAAAAATCCACATGCTGTAACCCTTGCGGAACATCTGCAGCATTGCCAGCTATCAGTTGTTTTTCGAAGATAGCTGAATGAAGGAAAAGTGGAAAGGAATTAAAAAAGCACTCATCATGTGCTTGTTTATAGTAAAATTTATTGAATTTCAATATGTTTAGGAAAATTATGGATTCTGATGTATTTGCAGTTATAGCAGCGCAGTAAGAGCGCGCTATGGCAATGTACTCACAAAGGTATGCGGAGCTGCCGGCCATAGTAACCATGGGGGCATCTATGTTAGCTTCTGGTTGAATTGTTGAACCACAAGCCAGAACTCCTCATATGCCTGAAGCTCTGGTTCCCAATCCAGTTAATGCAATAACAGCTTCTTCCAAGCCATTGAAAACATGCACTTTGTTAGGTCCACCACCTGTTGCGCTTGCTTCTGCTTTCGGCCGCGCTTAGGGATTATAACCCTTACTAAGTAGAATTCTGCTTTCTGTGTTGCGGGGAAGAGGGGCTTCCGCATGTCAAAGGTATACAACATTTCTTGTGCATATCACTCCGGCTATGCCGTCTACAGTATTTTTGCGCAGAACCCACGTCGAAATTTGCAAAAAAGTGGATAGTGCAAACCGAGTTTATTAATAAGCTAGTGGTAGAGAATTTGACACATTTATCTTAAAAAAATGTGAATCCTTTGATTACACGTGTATGTTAAAGTTTTTGGAATTGGGCTATGCGTTTGGACACAACAACCGAAAATCGTTGTACAAATAACTAAACCGGACCCAAGTTCCTCGATAAGGGGCAACAAAGATTCTTTTTTGCTCGTTTATATGAAGCAGTGGATAAAAATATACGTATACGCGAAAGGAAAATTTGTCTGTTTAAATGAACACCACCAATATTTCTTGCAAACACGCATTGAATTACATCTTTTATTTCGCCTCCGGCACAGAATTGTTCTCGTACAAAATTACGCAAAAAAGCTTACTCGTTCGTTTTTAGGCATGCCATTGTTAAGAATTTCGAACGTTCGGATTGCAGCATACTATTTCTACGATTTGTAGCAAAATCCGACTACGAAAGAGTTGCAGAATAGGGGTGT